CATTGAGTACATTAGCTTTTTCCACATCCTCGGTCACTAGGTTCCCTCCCTCATTCAGTAAGGGGTCCACACTTTCCTTGACCTTCTTCTTGTTGCTAACATAGCTGTAAAAATCCCTTCTTGTTACTCTTAACATCTCTTGCTAGCTACAACTCCAAGTGTGATTTAGCCTTCCTGATTTCACTCCTGCATGCCTGAGCAATATTTTTATACTCCTCCCTGGTCATTTGTCCAATCTTCCACTTCTTGTAAGCTTCTTTTTTGTGTTTAAGATCAGCAAGGATTTCACTGTTAAGCCAAGCTGGTCACCTGCCATATTTACTATTCTTTCTACACATCGGGATGGTTTGTTCCTGCAAGCTCAATAAGGATTCTTTAAAATACAGCCAGCTCTCCTGGACTCCTTTCCCCCTCATGTTATTCTCCCAGGTGATCCTGCCCATCAGTTCTCTGAGGGAGTCAAAGTCTGATTTTTTGAAGTCCAGGGTCCGTATTCTGCTGCTCTCCTTTCTTCCTTGTGTCAGGATCCTGAACTCGACCATCTCATGGTCACTGCCTCCCAGGTTCCCATCGACTTTTGCTTCCCCTACTAATTCTTCCCGGTTTGTGAGCAGCAGGTCAAGAAGAGCTCTGCCCCTAGTTGGTTCCTCCAGCACTTGCACCAGGAAATTGTCCTCTACACTTTCCAAAAACTTCCTGGATTGTCTGTGCACCATTGTATTGCTCTCCCAGCGGATGTCAGGGTGATTGACGTCTCCCATGAGAACCAGGGCCTGTGATCTAGTAACTTTTGTTAGTTCTGCACCCCCTTCCCTTGCTATGTGTAGGGAAAATCTTCCATAGAAAGAGAGATTAAAAAGATCGGGACTCTTCACCTTAGAGAGGAGATGAATGAGAGGGGATGTGACAGAGACATACATAATCATGAATGGGATGGAGAAAGTAGATGGGGGCTACTATTCACCCATTCTCATAATACAAGAACAAGGGGACAGTCAGGGAAGTTAGAAGCAGCAAAATTGAAATCCATATAAATATTCAGTCTTTCTTTTGAATCCTTCTAAGATCTTGGTTTCAATGATCGCCTTTGGCAGTGAGTTCCACAGGCTAATTGTACACCATGTGAAAAAGGAAGGTCACCTATCACACACACCACTCCCTAGTCTCGCACACACACACCCCTGCGGTCCCTGGCACACTCAGACACCTTCAGGGGTCTGATGTGCCTTTTCGTCTCTTGCAGATGATCCCTGTTTGGACAGCTCTGAAGGGGATGACAGTGATGAAGAGTCAACAGTGAGTGCGGCATAATGCCCAAGAGCACCTATGGCATCACAACATCCAGGGCAGATGCTGGGAGACTGAGAGCAACCTCCAGTATGATCTGTCTCAGCTGGAACATACCTGACACTGTCTGTACATGTGGTGTAGGGCGCTCAGCATTTAGACTGATTTTTCAAAGGAGATTTGATGCCCCTGGCCAGATTGGCAGAGGTATTTAAGCACCTAACGATGCAGAGAGGCACCTAATGGGATTTACCAAAGCACTTAAGGGTTTGTCTTCCCTGCAGAGTTAACCTGGGCTCTTCCCTTGGTGTTGCCCCAACCCCCATCCTGTCCACACGCAAAACCCCCTTACTGAGTTTAGCGGTGCTTTACACCCAGGCTAGCTTGCCCAGCTTGGGGGTGTGGGTGGGGGTACAGCCCAGGTGTTGCTTTCACTGAGGTGGGTAACCCATCTGCTTTGCAGTGAGGATGCAGCTAAACCACTCCAGTGCTGATAGTCCTCCACTGCCTTCTCACAATCTCCTTGTGCCCAGAAGGATAAAGGAGGTCTCCCCCAATTCTCTGGGAAGAATCCTAGAGCAGCTAAGCTCACTGCTGTGTTAAGAACCATCGGTGCTACAGCCCTAGGGACACACAGCATCCATGAGGACACAGTAACCCAGGCAGGGCTTTGCTGCTCTCATCCGGGCTAGGCTAACCCAGGAGCTCAGCCCCGGGTGCCGATCATCTGAATGAACTCTGCAGCGAAGACAGAATCTTAGTAAGTTTGCAGTGCCTCAGCCCATTCTGGGGGAACTAGAGGTCATGAATTTCCAGAGCTGTTGCTCTGGCATCTTTAGGAGCTTTTGACAACAAGTCATGATTTCCTTCCCCAGGACTCTAGTCGGCCAGACGACATCAACAGCGTCAATTGTGAGAGCAGCGAGGGAGATCTCCTGGCCTTTCCTGCCGGCAGCCCGAAGGAACTCAACACGAGACAAGCATCACTGCTCTTCTTTGACCTCAAGTTCTTGAGTAAGATCCTGAGAATTTCAAAGGCAAATGTGAATCCTGCTTGCAAATCATTGGGGCGAGATCACTGCACTTAGCAACAGCCCTATCAGGGGGAGAGGGGGGCAGGCCAGATATCATGGGGCTTCCTGGTCATGCTGGGGAAAGTATAATCTGCCATGTCCCTATTAGGGTGCAATATGCTCCCCAGCATGGCGAGGCAGCTCTGCCATTGGGAGGAGCACCAAGTCCATGAGGACATGAATATTTTTATGTAAGGATGGTCAGGTGCAAGTGGCCAGTGCACCTTCCACATGGTCATGCAGGGCTCTAGGTTAATGGCCACAGGACTTCCTGGAGCAGCCATTCCCTTTCAGAAGTGACAGATTCGAGGGAGGAAGCACCTGCTTTTCAAGCACCTCAGATGCCCCATCATAGCAGCGTCAGAGAGACACCTTTCCCCTCTCCCAGGAACACGATGCTACAGAGATAGCAGTTGATATTCTAAATGGGAAGAGTTAGTTGAAGCATCCCTGATGCAGCAAGCTATACTTGGATGTCAGACATTGGTGACCTGCTTGGAGAAGGCTATGAGGAGAATTGGAATGGGCCAGATCCCCAGTTGCTGTTAATAGTTGTAGCTCCATTGACGTCCATATTTACACCAGGTGAGGAGCTCACTCAATGTTCTAGTTTCCCTCGACTAATTCTGTTTTTCACTCCCAGCAGCAAATAAGGTCCTTCAGCTGGCTGTGGTGGATGGAGAAAAGAGCTTTACCACCTTGATTCAGCCACTGAAATCTTTGCCTGGCTTGATCTCAAAAGGTGGCGTCTGTGAGATTGGTGTGAAGACCTTATTCCGCTACCTCTGCTCTGTCCACAAACCCATCTTAGCAGGGTATGACCTCTGGTCACCAGCCCTTCCTGTCCTGTTTCAATCCCTGGATCTCCTTAGCAAGAAAGAGGAGTTTAGTGCAGCTGTCTTTGGTTTCCTGGACATCTTGCCCCTGATTAAAGAGAAGATCCCCAAGGCTGGGAGTTACAAACTGAAGAACCTGGCCAACACTTACATTTGGAGGCAGCTCAGTGATGATAGCCCCCTGGATAATGCAAAGGCCCTAAGGGATCTGTGCACAGTTCTGGAGGTTGATCCAGTGGAGGACCCAAGGCCTGTGCTCACCTGCTTTAATCTGGAATGTTATGCGTCCCTTCAGCCATTGCTGAATGAGAAACTTCTCACTAAGCCTTCGGTGCAGATGCTGGCCATGCACAACATGAGCCTTTCCAAGCTCCATACCTTATACATGAGCGACCCTGAGAAAGGGCTGCAGAAGTTCTGCAGATTCTTCAATTCTCGGCTGCAGAGCTCTGAGAAGAAAATCCGAAAGCTAAGTAAGATCAAAGCCCATTTCCAAAGCCCACAGCCATCAGCTGGGCACCAAGCAGCAGCAGCAAATGAACTGCCACAAGCAATAAAGAATGAGCCAGACTACTGAAATACATCTACAGCTCAGACAAATATATCTGTGTATGGCACCTCAGGTATGAGGCTGAGCAGCAACATTCAGCTTTCAGGTCCAGACCACCAGAATTCAAGAAGTTTAGATTCACCATTTTCAGTTTGGCACATTATCTAGAGCAGGGCCTGTTAAAAGCTCATGTATAGATCTGAACTACGAATTTCAGGGATGCTTGGATCAGCTGTTCTGATGGTGGCTCTCTCTCTCATATACAAAACTTTGTTAAGATGAAGTGCTTAGGGTACTTGCCTAGGGAGACATGGGTTCAAGACCCTGCTCCACCACAGATCTCCTGTGTGACCTGGGGCAAGTCATGTAGCCACTCTGCCTTAGTTTCTCATCTGCACAATAGGGAAAATAGCCCTGCCCTGCCTTGCTAGAGTGTTAGGAGGCAGTGGTTATATCCTATGGGACCAAATAAGTACCCAAGATAGACCGCAATCAGGGTTGCAGGGCCATATCAGTGGCTTGAGGACATACTGCCTGTCAGGAATGTTAGAGTTAAAGTCCCTCAAGCATTAAACCCCCAAAGGTGCAGAATTAAGGGTGCTGCTCTGAGCAGGACTCCTGGTAGTAATAACACTGCAATCTGACCATACATGGTTTCCCCCAGTGCTGCCATCAATGGAGCTGCACCAGTAGTTATGGGACCTAATTTTCTTAGTGCAGACAAGGCCTGTGTTACCTGATGTATCCATTTCCTCCCTTCTGTTTGGTGTACGGCCCAGATCCTCAAAAGTGTGTAGGCACATAACTCCCATTGAGAGTCAGGCACCTAAATACCTTTGAGGATCTGGACCTACATGACCAGAGGGAGGACTCTGTCTATCCAGCCAGCACTTCCTTGTATTTATTATCACCTGGAGAGTAAGCAACTTTTATACAATTATATGCACAAGAATTGCTTATGTGATTGATTCAGGGGGCTGGACTTGATGACTTTTCACAGTCCCTTCCAGCCTTACATGTCTATGATCATGTCAGCAGCACGCAGGGCAAGGGGAATTTTAATTATAATAAAATGAAATGTCTTTGCTTCCCTCTAGAAGTGTGGCCTAGATCCTCAAAGATATGGCACCTAACTCACGTTGATTTCATGCAAGTTAGGAGCTTAAATACCCTGAAGGATCTGGACCACTGTCCTCTTTGCTTTTTTCTACTGACCCTGCACATTTCCTGCTACTTTTCAATGTAGATTGCAAATTCCTTGGGGCAGAGAATTGTCATTGATGTTTGTAAAGGGCTATGCACCTGTATGTAATCATGTAAGTAAGAAATAAAATTCATAATTTGATATGAATCCAAAGTTGTTCTCTCTTGACCCAGGCTGACCACACTTCCTTAATATCCTCTTGCAAAGGACCCTACCTTGGGTTTTGGGGTAAATCATGCACACCTACCCTCTGCTTGCCACATGCACACAAAACCATCAGGATACTGGTGCACGTGGACAGGGGCTATGAGAGCAGGACATATAGTGAAAAACTGTATATCAAATTTGCTCATAAAAGTGGAGGAAAACCAAGCTGATTTGAAAGCTGATCTCAGCTTTGTGTCTCCACCTTGCCCTTAATGAATGAATACAATGAACGGGCACTATCCCGTATGTTGCTGGAAATACCTTCAAAAAGGCGACAAGCCAAATCCCAGATCTGGATGTAGGAGAAAGTTGGCTCCAGATGCAGATCTAAATGGAGCCCTTGGGCCCATTCCTAGTGACACCAGTAGTTATTTGGCAGCACCACCATGGCAACCCCAACTCATGATGTTTTGAATCTGCAAACAACCTGAGATTTTTTGCAAAAGGTACAGTGAGTCTCACACACCAAGACAGACTGTCCAGGAAGCAACTGGACCTTCCTTTTGTTCATGGTGTGGAAGAGAACTCTTGACTTTCAGCTGCGCACAGTAACATTACACCCTTCTTAATCAGCCTAGTGACAGTTACCCTCTTCCACACAACACCCACAACAAAGTAATTACCAATGGCTGAGTATCACCAACCAATCTGCTTCAAACCAGCTTTGCCAGGAACACCCTGGGCTGTCACTCTAAGTAAAGTTCAGGGCAAAGACGGAAACCAAATGCAAAACAACTGTAGTGGGTTCCCCAAATGAAGTCTCATCCAGTCCTCACAGGCAAGGATAGTGGCTAAGTCTGCACAGCAGCTGGGCGGGCACTTCCCAGCAAGGATAGACAGACACATGCTGATGCTTGAGTTAGCATGCTAAAAATAGCAACTTGCCACCAGGTAGAATCCTGCCCGCCCCCCCTGCCTACATACGCAGGCATCTAGCCTGAGCCATGGCCACACTGCAATTCAGTGGCTGTATAGCAGAGCGTGGCATGTTTAGGGAAAGGGCAGGGCTTAAAACCAAGAAAAATAGGGGACTGCTCAAAGAAGTGAAAACCCCAGAGAGGGGGGAATTCAGTGCATGAATGCAGTCTTGGGATCAGCAGGCAGGTAAAGGCAGCTCTGCTTACAGGTAGTCATAGAAATGTGAGGCTGGAAGGGACCTGAGAGGGCATCTAGTCCAGCCCCCTGTGCTGAGGCAGGACCAAATAAACCTAGAGTGTCTCTGACAGGGGTTTATCCAACCTGTACTTAAAAGCCTCCAACGATGGAGATTCCACAACCACCTTTGGGAGCTTGTTCCAGAGTTTAACTAACCATTATAGGTAGAAAGGTTTTCTTAATATCTAATCTAAATTTCCCTTGCTGCACATTAAGCCCATTACTTCTTGATTAAGCCAATTACTTCTAAACCACCTGTCATCATCTCTATCTGCAAAAAGAACAGGAGTACTTGTGGCACCTTAGAGACTAACAAATGTATTAGAGCATAAGCTTTCGAGGAATACTGCCCACTTCTTCAGATGCATATAGAGTGAAACATATATTGAGGAGATATATATACACACATACAGAGAGCATGAACAGGTGGGAGTTGTCTTACCAACTCTGAGAGGCCAATTAAGTAAGAGAAAAAAATTTTTATGAAGTGATAAGCTAGCCCAGTACAGACAGTTATCAAAGTTTGAAAGCTTATGCTCTAATAAATTTGTTAGTCTCTAAGGTGCCACAAGTACTCCTGTTCTTTTTGCGGATACAGACTAACACGGCTGCTACTCTGAAACCTATCATCTCTATCTGTTACTCATGCCCAAACAGAGGATTGGGTGGGCAGGAAAGTATAATAGATTTGTGACTTAGGTCATGATCCACCAAACTCTTGAGGGTAGAGGAACTATGCATGGGAATAAAGTTAAGCACACGTATAATTGTTTACAGGAATGCGGGAGGAGTGAAGAATGAGCTCCTATGTCAGCGTTTCTCAAATGCAGCCACTGGCATGCAGCCACCAGGGACTTTTCTTGTGGCCACAGCCTCCTTGGTGTGACGGGGGAGGGGGAGAGAGGAGGGGAGTACTGGCCCCTCCCTCTCCCTGGTGCTCCTGGATGCACCACCTTGGTGTTGGTTGCTGGGGCCACCAGCAGGAGTTGGCCCTGTCCCCCCCGAAGACACCTGGGGCACAACGCTTGAGGAGCAGGCAGCCAGTCAATTCCCCCCTTCCCAGGGGCAGTGGGACTCAGGCTTCAGGCTCCAACTGTGCAGCAGCAGGCTCCAAGCTCAGACCATGGGGCTTCGGGCCTCCCCTGGCCCCCCATCCAGGGCTTAATTTGTCCCCAGGCTTGCCCAGGCTGAGTAAATCTGCTGTGAAAAGTAATACTTGTATGTTTGTTAATATCACTTTTCACAACAGACTTACTAGCTAGCAATATATAAATTACAATGATTTGGTCATGTATATGTGCATATTTATTTTTCCTAAGCTAATTAAGTATTTTAGGAAAAATTGTCAGTGCGGCCACCAGCAAGAGTTGGTGGCCATACTCTGAGGCCACCAAAAAGTTTGTCCTGAGAACCCCTATGTAATGTCCCTGAAACCCAGCATGAGTGTAGTTTAATGCCATAATAATCCAGGTATAAGGAGCTGTTTTGTTGGCTGTGTGCAATTTAGCTGGGCTCTGTGTAGGTGGCCATGGATTACCAGAGCACTCAGATATAACACCTGGAAATCCATATTTACTGAGTCCTTCAGCTAGCCCCCAATCACAGCCCCTTGGTGCAAAGGGTTACCCTTGTGTACCATTGTTTCTTCAGCAGCACATCAGAACCCAGCATTCTGGCACATCTGTCTTCTGCTAAGGAGGTGCTGCCACTTGTAGTTCAGGGGGGCTTTCCTAGGGGAGAAATCCCAACGAAACCAATTCCAGTTCAGGTGATCTCTCTTAAAAATACTTCATACATCTCTATCTCTAGTTCCTTCTCATTAACTGTGCCAGAAGATAGAAGGATGATCCCATAAATGTCCAGATAGGTGTCTAGATCGCTATCTAAATGAATCTTTGGGCCTCTAGATCTCTCTCTAGATTACTCTCCAGCCAGACAGCTGTAGACAATACTAGGGACTCTCACTCTAAAAACATTTTATTGAATTTTAGTTGGCAGCCGGTATCAAGCGGAGTGTCCCAAAGGTCAGTCCTGGGACCGGTTTTGTTCAATATCTTCATTAATGATCTGGAGGATGGCGTGGATTGCACCCTCAGCAAGTTTGCAGATGACACTAAACTGGGAGGAGTGGTAGATATGCTGGAGGGTAGGGATAGGATACAGAGGGACCTAGACAAATTAGAGGATTCGGCCAAAAGAAATCTGATCAGGTTCAACAAGGACAAGTGCAGAGTCCTGCACTTAGGATGGAAGAATCCCATGCACTGCTACAGACTAGGGAACAAGTGTCTAGGCAGCAGTTCTGCAGAAAAGGACCTAGGGGTTACAGTGGACGAGAAACTGGATATGAGTGAACAGTGTGCCCTTGTTGCCAAGAAGGCTAATGGCATTTTGGGCTGTATAAGTAGGAGCATTGCCAGCAGATGGAGGGACATGATCATTCCCCTCTATTCGGCATTAGTGAGGCCTCATCTGGAGTATTGTGTCCAGTTTTGGGCCCCACACTACAAGAAGGATGTGGAAAAATTGGAAAGAGTCCAGCAGAGGGCAAAAAAATGATTAGGGGGCTGGAGCACATGACTTATGAGGAGAGGCTGAGGGAACTGGGATTGTTTAGTTTGCAGAAGAGAAGAATGAGGTGGGATTTGATAGCTGCTTTCAACTACCTGAAAGGGGGTTCCAAAGAGGATGGATCTAGACTGTTCTCAGTGGTAGCAGATGACAGAACAAGGAGTAATGGTCTCAAGTTGCAGTGGGGGAGGTTTAGGCTGCATACTAGGAAAAACTTTTTCACTAGGAGGGTGGTGAAGCACTGGAATGGGTTACCTAGGGAGGTGGTGGAATCTCCTTTCTTAGAGGTTTTTAAGGTCAGGGTTGATAAAGCCCTGGCTGGGATGATTTAGTTGGGGATTGGTCCTGCTTTGAGCAGGGGGTTGGACTAGATGACTTCCTGAGGTCCCTTTCAACCCTGAGATTCTATGATTCTATGACTGTCAGCTCATTTGGGCAACATACTGTGGAATTTGCCCTGTGGATGTCAGCTCAGTTTTTTACTAATTTCTCCTACTGTACAAGAGAATGCTCATGCGCTGAGAAGAGTCTGTGACTATGTAACCCACTGGTGAATCTGTGTTACAGGCCCCTGCTGTGCCTGATCTGCACATACGATAATCTCTGTCAAATGCCAGCTGAAGACTGGCTGACAATGCCACTGCATGGCAAAGCTCAAGGAACGCCCTGCTCAGCAATAACTCTGCCCATGTTATTATTGTTATGTGCTATTTGTATTACAGTAGCACCTCGAAGCATCACCTGAGATCAAGTGTAGCCAAGTCACTTCACCTCTTTGTGCTTCTATTTCAGCCTCTAGCCACTGGCAGTTAGGAGAAAACTTTCCCTGGGGGGCACATTATCCCATAGGTCACTGTTGGTGATGGGCTATTGGACTGGGTAGATCAGTGGCCTGATCAGGGTTGGCAAATGCCATGTCTCTAAAACTGTAGAAGTCAAACAAAGCCTCTTCTCTCATTCATACCAACATCCCAAGCATGCAGAATATGCTGACACTCATATTTAATTTACTGTGTTTTGTTCTTCACCATTAAAACAATGAAGCCAATGACCTCTGTGACGGGTTCGGTCACAGAGATCCCCTTGGGACTGTTGACTGATGTGCTGAAATTACCTCTGAGCCCGTTTTCCCTGCCAGCTTGGGACTCCAGAACCCTGCCTTGTTGAGCCAGACACACTAGCCTGCTGCAACACAGACCCAGGGTCTGGGCCAT